GAATTCAGTTATGGGATGAAATCGGATAAGGATGAAATCGTTTAAGGATGAACGGGTTTAAGAGTTTTAAGAGTTTAAGAGTTTTTAAGAGTTTTAGCCAAATGCTTTATAATATAGTATAGATATATATATTATTTAGGGGAATTTTTTGAAAATAGAACAAATTCTAGGCTAATTTTTATTTTGTAGAATCAACTTTTAAATCATCATTTTAAGGTCTAAATTAAAGTTGTTCACCCTACTAGACCCATCATGTCGGGTCCACTAGAGAAGCGGGCTTGGATTACCATTCTCGAATAAATGGGCGGGCCTTGATTGACTTGTTAAAATTAACGGGCGAACATGTGCAATGGGAAAAGAAAAAAAAGGATTTGGATAAGCCCGCCAGACCCATTAATATTTTTATAATAATTAACTTTTATAATTAAAATTTACAAATAAATTTGAAAATTCTTAATACTTATCAATTCATACTTAATTATGCCCCGTGATAATAACATCCTTTAAAAGTCTTAAATTTGAAAATATAATTACCTCCATTGATCAATTCCGTATTATCTCATTTAGTCGATTTCGTTATCGATGTTTCATATTTAGCGAAACAATTTCTTTCTAAAATACGTATATTGTTATGTATTTACATCAAATTTTGAGTTGGAAAAATTGTTATGTATTTTGAATTGTTTTACATAACTCGTGATTTTATATAAATTTTGTTTTCATAAAAATATAACAACATTTTTAAACTTGTTAGCCCATGAGCAAGCCCAAACCGTTTTATATGATGGATTATGGCCTATGGATAAGTTTTCAAGCCCGTAAAAACGGTCTCAATTTTATCATATCAAGTCTGTTAGACAAAAAAAACAGGTCAAGTCCGACACGGGTCTGACCAAAGCCCACAAATGATCAACTATCGTCCAAATCAAAATTTTCATTTATTTAAGGGTTTTCATTATCTATTCAGTAGGCAACTTGTTACCAAGACATGACATGGCAACAATACGGCATTAATTTTTTATTTATTTATTATTATTTATGTTCTTATTTTTTGCATCCAAGTACCATCAAAATGTTAGCGACCACTGTTGCATTTTTCTATCTTTCATGAATCTCCGTCTTTTTCGTAAGCAAATCCTACGACCTATGTCCCTAAATCATAAAAAGAGGATTTCAAATCTAAAATTCATTGT